CCTTATATAAACGGAATCATACAATATTTGTCCTTCTGTTTCTGGTGTATTTCACTAAGCATATGCTTTCCAGGTTGTAGCATGTGTCAGAATTTCCTTCCTTTTTAAGGCTGCATAATATTCCATTGTGTGTATGTAGCACGTTTTGCTTTTCCATTCATCTGTTACTGGACATTTGGGCTGTTTCCACCTTTTGGTTACCGTGAATAATGCCGCTACAAATATTGATGTACAGGCATCTGTTTGAGTTGCTGCTTGCAATTCTTTTGGGTATATTCCAGAAGTGGGATTGCTGGATCATATGATAATTCTATGTTTAACTTTTTGAGGAACTGGGCTACCCTCATGTGATTCTTATGTGCAGTCAAGGATGAGGAACACTGGCGAGGCCAGCATCCCTGTTACGTCCTAAGAGAGTACAGATTGGTAGTTGGTAAATATTATTGGATTAATTTCTTCATAAATTGCATCGTAGCCCAATGCAGTTGTTAGTGTCACAAAGTCAAAAGACTGTCGGGGGCTTCCCTGGTGGCGCAGTGGTTGAGAGTCCGCCTGCCGATGCAGGGGACACGGGTTCATGCCCCAGTCCAGGAAGATCCCACATGCCGCAGAGCGGCAGGGCCCGTGAGCCATGGCCGCTGAGCCTGCGCGTCCGGAGCCTGTGCTCCGCAACAGGAGAGGCCGCAACAGTGAGAGGCCTGCGTACCGCACAAAAAAAAAAAAAAAAAAAAAGACTGTTGGGTGGCTTAACGTAGTTAGCATCCTTTTGAAAACCCCAACAAAGTGTCTCACGGCCATGAGAAATATCATGTCAACTGCAGTTCCTGCCTTCAGTTGAAATGTGTCCCCAGTGATTTGCTACTGCTGATCATTTAAGTATCAGAGTTTCTGATCTGCTTTGTAGATAATACATGATTGGCATTTTAGATAGTAAATTAGACCTGATTCAAGACTTTTCCTATCGTAATGTTGTATCTATCATGATACCTGGTATTATTCCTCAGATATGTTTTCTTGAATAGGAAGGAGAAAGTGGCAGTGTATACAGGGGTGTGCTGTACACGGGAATGTCTTCCATCTCATAAAGCGCTGCTAAACTAGCCACTGACAGCCTCATGGGAAATCCCTTGTATGTGAGGAGGTTTTTGTTTTGTTTTCTCTCTTGCTGCTCCACATGGTACTTTCTCCTCCACGTTTTCAGCCTTCCTTCTTGCTGCCAACAGAGTACTCACCACTCCCTTTCTTTGCCATAAGCAGAGATTGGATTTAGTCAACCCTGTACTCTAGGCACTGTAAGAAAGAGTTAACAAAGATGTAGAACGTAATGGGTGTCCTAACTAGCTCATCTGTCTGGGTTATCTATGCTTTTCTTTGCCTTTGACTAAGGTATCTTGCAACTCCGAGAGATAGAAGTTGTAGAAAACTGATACTAATGCAAATAATTCTTGATTATAAATAGATAAATTCTGTCGGGGGAGGTTCAATGGATTTCCCTCCTCCACTGTGGAAGAAGTTGTTTTGCATCTATTAAGCTAATTCATCTCAGCTCCCTGCTGGGCTTACATATTTATCTCACTTTTGGATTCTCCTTTGAAGTGGTCACAACACCTTTCTGGTTCCCTCATTCACTAACGTGTTAAATAAAATCTTTGACTTGTATTCACTGTACATTCGTTGAGAGTCATGATTTTAACTTTCTTTTTGAAAAACCATCTCATCCAAAATCTGAAACACCAAAAACACCAAGTGTTGGCCAGGTTGTGGGCAACAGGAACTCTCCTTCATTGATGGTGGGAATGCAGGACACAGACACTGTGGGAAACAGTTTGGGGTTCTTACAAAACTAAACATACTCTTACCCGATGATCTAGCAATCACCCTCCTTGGTATTTACTCAGAGGAGCTGAAAACGTACGTCCACACAAAACCTACACACAGATCTTTACAGCAGCTTTATTCACAGTTGCCAAAACTTAGACACAACCCAGATGTCCTTCAGTAGGTGAACAGCTAAACAAACTGTGGTACATCCAGACAATAGAATATTATTTAGCACTAAAAAGAAGTGAGCTATCAAGCTATGAAAAGACATGGAGGAATCTTAGATGCTTATTATTAAGTGAAAGAAGCCAATCTGAAAAGGCTGTATGATTCCACTTATATCACTTTCTGAAAAGGGTCAAAATATGGAGACGATAAAAAGACCAGTGACTGAAAAGGGTTGGGAGGGAGCAGAGATGAATAGGCAGAGTACAGAGGATTTTTAGGACAGTGAAAATACTCTGTATGATACCTTAATGGTGGATACATATCATTATACATTTGTCTAAACCCACAGAACGTACAACACCAGGATGACCCCTAATGTAAATTATGGACTTAAGGTGATTATTACGTATCCGTGTAGGTTCATCAGTTGTAACAAATGTACCACTCTGGTGGTGGATATTGATAATGGAGGAGGCTGTAAGTAGGTGAGAGCAGAGGGTACATGAGATATCTCTGTACCTTCCCCTCAATTTTGCTGTGAACCTAAAACAACGCTAGAAAAAATACAGGCTTAATAAAAACAAAACTAAATGAAAATCATCCCTTAACAGTATTCGGCACAGAGCCTGGCACAAGGTAGGAATCCAATTAATATTTGTGAATGAATGAGACAAGTAAATGTAATCTCTGCCCTGGATGATTCATCATGAAGGAAGGGTATGGAATATTAATGCAATGCTTAGCTGTTATTCCCAAGTTGAAATTGAAATGGGAAAATCCCCCCAATCCTTTGAGAGATGGCGGCAAGAAGGGGCAGCAAGGAAAGTGGAGAACCTTGTGTCAGAAAGTGGCTTGCGTGGACTCAACACAGAGGCTGAGTCGGAGGTCACAAAGGGTGATGAGCATGGAATAAGGTGGGAGACAAGGAATGTCATTTAAGTCACAGGACTCCTGTTTCCTTTCCCTCTGTTGTATACAGATCCCAGGACCTCTGGGTATTCTCCTGCACTGGGCCTTTGAAAATCTGTCCAGATATAAAATAATGGCATTCTGGCATTTTTGGTTAGAGTACCAACTCTAGTCAAAACACGTAAAGGAAAAAAGAGCTATGGGTCAGATTCCAGATGTGTGAGTGTTTTAAAGATGACATCAATGGATTTCTATAGAATGAAACCACAGGCTTCCTGCAAATCGTCTGGATTCACAAAGCCCTATGTCACTTTCAACTAAGGAGGAAGAACTCCCAAGTATATTATCTGTAGACGTGCATGAACTTTCAAGGGGCATTTAAAAGTCAGATCTCCACTCTGTTTTTCTCCTATCTTTATAGAAATGTAATGGCTGATATAGAAAAGGTATGTGACTTACTGTTTATTTATTTTTTTAATATTTTAATTTTACTGGAGCATAGTTGATTTACAATGTTGAATTACTGTTTATTATGTTTTTCCAAAATTAACCTGGCAACTTTGAGAGTACTAATACACTCTGCATCTACTTCTCCCAGACACTTTCTATGTGTACATATAGAAATTATCTCTCATTTAATTCTCGTAACAACCATTTGAAACAGGTACTATCATCTTCTACTCTTTACAGATGTGGAAACTGCAGGTGAGAGGTTAACTTGCCTAAAGTCACACCATTAATAACTGGCAGCATCAAAATTCAAATTCAGGGCTAACTCTAAAGGTCACATTCTTTCCACTGTACCATTAGCCCCCATAAGAGAACCACAGGAGTGAAATTATATTTAAAAATATTAACATTTGAGGGCTTCCCTGGTGGCGCAGTGGTTGAGAGTCCGCCTGCCGATGCAGGGGACACGGGTTCGTGCCCGGGTCCGGGAAGATCCCACATGCCACGGAGCGGCTGGGCCCGTGAGCCATGGCTGCTGAGCCTGCGCGTCCGGAGCCTGTGCTCCGCAAGGGGACAGGCCACAACAGTGAGAGGCCCGCGTACCGCCAAAAAAAAAAAAAAAAAGTAAAAAAAAAAGATTAACATTTGATTGGGAGGAGAAAAAGACCAGTCATAAAACGTAATGTTAGTCCAAGGTAGAGGCTGGAGGGTGACGGGTGAGGTGAATGCATAGGATATAAAATTGCTAGGTGAAAAACAGGGCCCTGTTTCACTCAAGTGAAATGAGGGAGGCACTTGTCTTGAGGCAGAGAGGAGAAGCAGGGGAGGGGGTGGGAGGGCTCTGACATCATCATTACCCAGCTGAGCTGTACTGGCTAAGATGCACCTGGTCAAATTGGGAAGGATACTCACAGGGTAATGAATGAGCAGGTGCACAAGCAAAAACTTGTGTATAGTACACTTAGAAAAAAGTCCCTTGAATCTCAATTTTAACAGACTAGAAGACTAGACTAACAAGGACCAGACCAATAAAGACCAGAAGACTTGATTTCCATACTTGGTACCTGAAGGTAATAGACTAATATTTGTTCACTGACTGAGGACAAAAGCAGAAGGCACTAGAAGTAATTGGAAAAGGTTTACCAAGGTCAAACCGAGTATGAAACAAGCATTTGCACTTGTAAGAATAATGCTGATAAGTTGGCATTTATTATCTACTACTTGCTAAGCAGAGCTAAGTGATTTACATACATCAACTCCTTTAATTCTGGTAACAACTCTATATATACTATATTTTCAGTCCCATTTTAATAGATGAGGCAGAGAATTAAGTAACTTATTCAAAATCATAAAACTAGAACCCAGCAGATCTTCCTGGATCCAAAGTTTGTGCACTTAGCCATTATACCGCATTCTGAACTCTGAACTTATACTGGATTAAAAAAAAATCACTGGATAGTGACTAACTGTGCTAGAATGTGGTGGAAGCTGTGTGGAGCTACCACCCTGAAAAAAGGTAGTGAGAATTTGGGTGTCCAAATTATTGCTACAGAAAATCCTGCTGTCCCGTGTGATGAAAAAGTTAATGCCACCAGAAACTGGACCAGGAAACCTTCTGTCTGGGGGCTACCTGGCTAGTCACACTTTATAAGTTACTTGCTCGCTTTTGTCCCAAACTATCCTCTAGTTTTCAATGGGGCAATGGCCTCGAATATCGCTAAGAGTGGGAGAGTGAGCTCAGGTGCGACTGCATTTGTTATTTCATCTAATCTGCATCCTTCCAGGGAAGGGCAACCTCTATAAATCTGTCTGCTGTGATTTATGAAGATTCTGGATGGCAGTCTGACTCGGAGGAAACCAGGTGATTCCTGCTAAAAACAATCATTTCCAAGATCGAATTAGGTTTAAATACACCATAGCCCAGTTTTGTTGTTGTTGTTAAAGTCTAGGCACAGATTTCAGGCAATTTCCACTGAGTATCTGGATCTCTAGCACCACTTCCCTTAGCAATGCCATACACATCTAATCCTAAAACGAGGAAGCCTCCGCTGAGGCTGCCCAACGCGGGTGCTGGTGGCGTCGCCGGGCACACGCAAGTCACTGAGTCAGCAGAGCGCGCCTCCGGAGGAGCGGACCCACCGGCGATGGAAAGCCACGTGCTCCCCTCCTTGGCGTGAGGCAATCCTCCTCCCACAGCCTCGGGAAGCCCCGACGCCACAGGCTTCCTCGCCATAGTGGTGCCGCCCGACCGTAGTTCCTCCACCGCTTCCTCCTCCAGCTGCCACCACTCGACCCTTCCTGCTCAGCAACGACTCCACCTCCCACCCGGGTTTGAAGCGCGCGCCTCGCCGCGGCCCAGAAGAGGCGGCGCGAAGGGCGGGGGGAGGTGCGCGGCCGCGCGCACGCGCGCAGTGGGCAGCCCCGCCCCCGCCCGAGGCCCCGCCCCCGGAGCCGCTACCGCGGCCAGCGGGCCCGACTCACCCAGGCAAACCTGCCTCTGCGGGGCGGGAAGCGGCGCTTCCTCCTCCGAGCACGGTGCAGCGCCGTCCAATTAGTCCTTCCGCCCCTGCCTCCGCGGCGCCGCGACGAGCGAGGGGGCGAGCGGAAAGTGCGCGATGCGGCCGGCGGGAGCAGCGGCTGTCGCGGGGTCGCCGGCGCGGGACATGTCGCTGTGCGGAGAGCTGCTGCAGGCCCCGCCGCCCCTGGCGTCGCAGCCGCCGGCGGCCGCGCCCTCGGGGTCGGCGCTCCCCGCAGCAGCCGGCGTGACCCTCAACCGCCTTCCGGAGCCGCTGCTGCGGAGGCTCGGCCGGAGCTTGGACCGAGCGCCCGAGGGCCGGGGATGGAGGAGGCTGGCCGAGGTGGCAGGGAGTCGGGGGCGCCTCCGGCTCAGGTGCGGCACCGGGGCCCGGGGTGGGGTGGGGTGTAAGGGCGGGGCGGGGTCACGTGGGGGCGTACTTGGGCGGGGGGCGCGCGGGGAGAGTGAAGTGGGCGCGGGAGAGGGAGGGCGGACGCGGCGATGGGTGAGGTTGGAAAACAGCGGGGCCACTTGAGATGGTGCAGGGGCCGCTGGGGGTAAGGAGCGCGGAGGGAAGGAGGTGGGAGAACTTAAGTAACCTTCCAGACAGAGAGCCTGAACCCAGGAAACTCCTGGGAATGCAGAGATTCGTGGTTGGACTCCGGCAGTGCACACCCTTTTCCTACTCTCCTCCCCTTTAGCTGAAAGAGAGAAATCGAGGTTGACCAAAGAGAATATAAAGAAAGCTATCTGGAGACCATTACGTTAGGGCGGTAATTCCAAAAGATTAAAATACACAGACCTAGAAGACCTAAGGGACGTTAGGAAGGGGACGTGCAGGTAGATAATGAAGGTGAAGGGTTTGAGGTGCAGGAATTCATGAAGGTTTTAATGTAGATGTAGAGAGAGAAGGATAGTGGGAAAGAAAGAAACTAAACTCACCGTCTTCCTCCATCAAACCAACTTGCCAGGTTTTCTTCCTGATTTCACCATGAACATTAAACCATTTTCCTATTACCAGGCTTGGAACTGGGCTTAAGACTCTCAGGACTCCTTTACACTCTTACGAATTATTGAGAACCCCAGAGAGTTTTGGGGTTTTATTTATTTATTTATTTATTTATTTATTTATTTTTGGCTATGTTGGGTCTTCGTTGTTGCACGCGGGCTTTCTCTAGTTGCGGCGAGCTGGGGCTACTCTTCGTTGTGGTGCGTGAGCTTCTCATTGTGGAGCACGGGCTTTAGGCACGCAGGCTTCAGTAGTTGTGGTGTGAGGGCTTCAGTAGTTGTGGCTCACGGGCTCTAGAGCGCAGACTCAGTAGTTGTGGCGCACGGGCTTAGTTGTTCCGCAGCATGTGGGATCTTCCTGGACCAGGGCTCGAACCCGTGTCCCCTGCGTAGGCAGGCGGATTCTTAACCACTGCGCTGCCAGGGAAACCGCCGCCCCCCCGCCCGAGAGTTTTTAACGTGGGTTCTATATGTTACATACATACAACATATACTGATATTTACCATATTAGAAATTAAAATCAAGAATTTTTTAATATTTAAAGAGAACAATTCATTACATGTTAACAGAAATGACATGTTTTTGTGGAAGAACAAACTTTTCCAAAACAAAAAATTTAGTTAGAAAAGTGGCATTGTTTTACATTTTGAAAATCTCTTTAATGTCTTGCCTTAATCCCAGAGAACCGGCATCTTTTATGTCCTTATGCACTCAGTCTGTTGCACTGTCACAGGTCAGGTAACACTGGATATGCCAATGTCCATTCTTGAGAGAATGAATGAAAAAAATAAATAACATCTTAGTATTATTATGAAAAGTCATTTTGACCTTGGGCATCCTGTGAAAAGGAACTGCAGTAGGGCTTCCCAGACTACACTTAGAACCACTGCTCTAGATCACTGTTACGATTTGGGTCTGCCTTTGAACCCCTTAGCAGTTTTTTTAACTTCTCATATAACCAAACTTTGTCTTGTACTATAATTATTTGTACACGTCTTTATAAACTCCTCGAGAACAAGAAGATTTAAGATCCTATATGTTATGCATAGAACCTATCTTAGACACTCTATAAATAATTTTGAATTGAGAGGGGAACCATTCATTCAAAATTAAGTTTTTTGAGTGCCTGATCTTTGCAAATGTTTCAGAAGATAAAACGATGTCAGATATTTAGCTCCTACTTATAAGGGCTTATGCAGTAATAGACTGTTATTCTGAGACAATCACAAATAATATGTTAGAGGCTATGTTGGGTGTGAATAATAACTGGGTTTTTATCATTTATTAATCAGTTAATATATATAACAGACAATGTATTAAGTATTTAATTCTCACCACAACCTTGAGTTTCAAAGAGTTTGAGGTTAAACCAGAATAATGATGATTTGGGATTATTTGGCTGTTCAATGGAGTAATGATGTGAGGATGGAATCAAGAAGTGGTAAATTTGCAAAGTTGAGCAGATGGCATACTTTTTTCTTTCTTTCTTTCTTTCTTTCTTTTTAATTTTTTGCTACTCTGCACGGCACGTGGGGTCTTAGTTCCCCAACCAGGGATCGAACCCATGTTCCCTGCATTGGAAGCACAGAGTCTTAACCACTGGACTGCCAGGGAAGTACCCCCCCTTTTTTTTTTTTTTTTCTGTTCTAGGAAGAATACATTGTGCTTTTGGCTGTGCAAAGAAAATCCAAGATACATACTATTATTCTAGGTCCATAGATTTCTGAATTTCTAGACTTAAAATAACATAAACAGTTGTCTTCTTTGTGGGCAGGGGGCGGGGTCAGATTACCAGATCTGTGATTGGTTAATTTGTGAAATTAACTACTACTCTAGTTAGGGAAGGCTCTGGCCTTTCCTGAAGAAGGTTCTCCTGAAGTGAGCACTCCTATTTGGCCATGAAGGAGGGAGAACATCAGTAAGGCCCTGTCGCTGAAGAGGCATGGCTGATGGAATCTAAAAGTAGTGGATACCTGACATCAGGTGTTCAGTTTTCCTCCCTAAGCCTTCAGTTAAGTTTTGTTAAAGGCTATAGAATGGTATTAGCTTTGTTTGAGGAACTAATGGAAAAGTTTGAGACCACTTCTCTGGTGAAGGTAGTATGGAGAGAGGGCAGTTGTCCAGCAAGAGGAGACAAGCAACAAAGGGCATGAAGTTGTGGAAGCTGGGGATTTCAGGGTGGGAAGTTTACTGGGGACAGATGAGTTTGGCCAGCCTTCCAGGATGGTGAAGGTTAGCTCAGGGTAGGTTAGTTGTGCTGGGGAAAGTGGAGGCCACCCTGAAGGTTGGAGAACTGGAGAACATTAAGCTCACATACCTGTTGAGATCAGAAGAATTAAACTGACCTAACAAAAGGTTAGCCCTGGGAACTTGGAGGCTGGGGAGTGACAACTGAGGGGGCAAGGTAAGCTGGCGGTGCTTTTTCTATTTAAGACTAAAACAGTGATTTTAAAACGATTTCATACCGATGGCAAAAGAGCATCTACAATAGTAGAAGGGCCGAAAGGCATTTTTCTCTAGTGTCAAACACAGGAATTATAGTGAATCTAGTCCAAATGGATGACAGTTCCCACGAGGATGTGCAGTGCTTTCTGCAGAGTCGCTGGATTCACAGCCCTAAAATCCCAGAAGTTTGCCTATTCTGTTTCTTTTCACTTTTTTTCCTCACTCTATACGACTTTCCTCAGACTAGGTAAGAATTTAATAAATAAGCCACAGGAGTTCCTTCTGAACTGTCCCATCAGGGATAAGGAGTGTTTCCAGATGGTTATTGGTGATTCAGGATAAATCCTTACATATAGTTTAGTTTCCCAAACCATGAACATGTGGGAGTGCCCTAAACAAACTCAGCCCTAGTTCCATTCCAAACTGCCTGAATATTGAATGCCCTTTGCTGTCAGTGTAGATAAGCACAGGTTCTGAGTGTCTTGCCCAAGCCGTGTGAATTCTGCGGAGGCTTGGAACGTTCGAGCCCCAAAGATGGCAGAACTTTCAGGAGGCTCTAATAGTGTGTAAATTCCATGAAGGAGGGAGCTTAGAGATGGGGCTTTGGGACCAGGGAAAACAGTCAGCCACTGCATACTTGCTGTATAGAAGGTGCTCTTTTAGCTACGGAATCCTGCCCTTGAGCACTTTATGATAGGAAGGTTTCCTCCTGTCCCTATCTCTTCAGTCTCTACCTCTTCATCTTTGGATTTTTGGAATGCCCTAGGGCTTAGGCGTTGTATCTCTTTGTCTAGGCTTCTTCACCTAATCCCCACCTTGGTGTTATCCTTAAGTCCTCCTAGCTTTACACATATTTAGGTTGATTACTCTCAGTTCATATCTTCAGCCCATGTCTTTGCTTTGAACTCCTGGATTC